ATGATCACCACATTCAAGATTCTCAAGGGAATCGACAGGGTTGATAAAGACAGGCTATTTAACACAAGGGGCACACGCACTAGGGGACACAGGTGGAAACTGAGTGCCCAAATGAGCCACAGAGATATTAGAAAGAACTTTTTTAGTGTCAGAGTGGTTGACAAATGGAATGCATTAGGAAGCAATGTGGTGGAGGCTGACTCCATACACAGTTTCAAGTGTAGATATGATAGAGCCCAATAGGCTCAGGAACCTGTACACCTGTTGATTGACAGTTGAGAGGCGGGACCAAAGAGCCAGAGCTCAACCCCCGCAAGCACAACTAGGTGAGTACCACCACCACCATCACCATTATCACCATCACCACCACCACTCTCCTATCCACCACTATCAGCCACCAGGGTGGTGGATCTGCCACATATGTGCTAGTTACTGTGGGGTAAAGAGACAAAAGAGCCATGTTGCAGTTCATACAGCAGTATGTGATGCCAATTGCCGCTATGTTGGTCCTCGCCCGGAACACATGCCCTAGCCTGAGGTATGTGGGGGCCAGGGGCCAGATTCACGAAGCTGTTACGCAAACACTTACGAACCTGTACATCTTTTCTCAATCTTTGGCGGGTTTGTTTACAATTATTAAACAGTTAATGAGCTCGGAAGCACCAGGAGGCTGTTTATAACAATAACAACAGTTGACTGGCAAGTTTTCATGCTTGTAAACTGTTTAATAAATGTAACCAAAGCCGTCAAAGATTGAGGTAAGATGTACACGTTCGTAAGTGCTTTTGTGAATCTGGCCCCAGATATCACTTGCCGCACCTAATGTTGCCGGAGAATATATTACACTAACATTACTGAAACAGATCACCAGTCTCTGGAGGGTAGTACTGGGGGTAGTACTGGGGGGTAGTACTGGTGGTAGTACTGGGGGTACTGTAGTACTGGGGGTAGTACTGGTGGTAGTACTGGGGGTAGTACTGGTGGGTAGTACTGGGGGTACTGTAGTACTGGGGGTAGTACTGGTGGTAGTACTGGGGGTACTGTAGTACTGGGGGTAGTACTGGGGGTAGTACTGGTGGTAGTACTGGGGGTACTGTAGTACTGGGGGTAGTACTGGTGGTAGTACTGGGGGTACTGTAGTACTGGGGGTAGTACTGGGGGTACTGTAGTACTGGGGGTAGTACTGGTGGTAGTACTGGGGGTAGTACTGGTGGTACTACTAGGGGTACTGTAGTACTGGGGGTAGTACTGGGGGTAGTACTGGTGGTAGTACTGGGGGTAGTACTGGTGGTACTACTAGGGGTACTGTAGTACTGGGGGTAGTACTGGGGGTAGTACTGGTGGTAGTACTGGGGGGGTAGTACTGGTGGTAATACTGGTGGTAGTACTGGGGGGTAGTACTGGTGGTAATACTGGTGGTAGTACTGGGGGTAGTACTGGGGGTAATACTTGGGTAGTACTGGGGGTAATACTGGGGGTAGTACTGGGGGTAGTACTGGGGGTAATACTGGGGGTAGTACTGGGGGTAGTACTGGGGGTAATACTTGGGTAGTACTGGAGGTAATACTGGGGGTAGTACTGGGGGTAGTACTGGGGGTAGTACTGGGGGTAGTACTGGGGGTAATACTTGGGTAGTAATGGGGGTAATACTGGGGGTAATACTGAGGTAATACTGGAGTGTAGTACTGGGGGTAATACTGGGGTGTAATATTGAGATAATACTGGAGTGTAATACTGGGGTGTAATACTGGGGTAACAGAGTCCATTGCAGGATAGATACTGTATTAACAACGTATTCATTTGTTTATTTAAACTCAAGTATATATTGTGTGTTATCCACGAGGCACCACTCTGTGTATGTGTCTGTTTATATATATATATATATATATATATATATATATATATATATATATATATATATATATATATATATATATATATATATATATATATATATATATATATATATATATATATATATATATATATATATATATATATATATATATATATATATATATATATATATATATATAAGAGTGTCTGACCTCGAAGGAAAATGAGACGGGAAATTCTTTAAGTACTTTCGTATTGATCAGTACATCTTCAGACGGGTGTATGGATTCGTCGTGGTTATTCTGCACATTGCAAATCAATGTTTTTTATTGTAGTTGCAAATGAATGAATATATACTGTATACACACACAGACACACACACACACACACACACACACACACACACACACACACACTACGTACACACACCACAAGAGGTCATAGATTTAAACTAGCACACACACACAAATAGAGTGGTAGACGGTTGGAACAAGTTAAGTGAGAAGGTGGTGGACACACACACGGGACACCACGAGCATAGCTCTCATCCTGTAACTACACTTAGGTAATTACACACACACACACACACACACACACACAAACACACACACCCAAGATTTACAGAGTGGAAATAGACATTTCTTTACTCTGAATTCCAACAGAACAAGGGGACATGGATGGAGCTGGAAAATCGGATAAGTCACAGAGATGTTACAAAGTTTTCATTTAGCGTGAGAGTAGTGGGGAAATAGAATGAACTAAAGGAGCACATTGTGGAAGCAAACACTATTCATAGCTTTAAAACTAGGTATGATACAGAAGTAGGACAGGAGTCATTGCTTTAAACAACCAAAGGCTAGAAAGGCAGGATCCAAGAGCCAGTGCTCGAGACTGCAGGCACAAATAGGTGAGTACACACACATGATGGACCAAGTAAAACTGAAGTGCAAAGAGGCAGAAGAGAGATCCATACCAGTACTAAGGGAAAAAAGTAGGAGGACATATAATAACATGTGGTTCAGTAGACATTTTGCCAGGAGGCAAAATAAAGAAGCAGGAGGGAGTGGAGGAAATACAGAAGGCAGAGGACAGAGGTAAATCGAAATAGATGTAACAGAGGCTAGGAATGGCTACATAAACATAAGATTGACAGAAAAAACTATAAAAATGACATTGCCTCCAAAGCAAAGAGACAACCGAAACTACAACATAACCATATAAGAAGGAAAATGACAGTGAATGACCAAATGACCAGGTTACAAAAAAGAGGAGGCTAATATACAGAAAATGATAAAGAAATTTGTGAGGAGCTCAATGACAGATTCCATGGGGCCTGAACAGCTCCCAGAGCTAGATAAGGAAGCAGCCCCCAAAGAGAAACTTCTAAATATTGAGGTAACAGCAGAGGAAGTAAGAATACAAATAGTATAACTAGATGTAGCTAAAGCTACTGGGCCTGATAGAGTATCACCATGGCTGTTAAAAGAAGCAGCACAAGCCCTCAGCATACCAATAGCCCTAATCTTTAATGAGTCCCTTACAAGGGGGGTATCGCCCAGCTGCTGGAAGAAGGCTAATGTGGTGTCAATCTACAAAAAAGAAAATAGAGAAGAAGCATCTAACTACAGACCAGTGTCACTCACAAGTAGTTGAACACCTAGTAAGAATTGGGTTTATAAGTAAACATCAATACGGCTTTAGAGAAGGAAAATCATGCCTGTCAAACCTCCTGGAGTTTTATGATAAGGTAATGAAAATAAGGCAAGACAGAGAAGGCTGGGCAGATCGCATATTTCTGCACTGCCAAAAAGCCTTTGATACGGTATCACATAGGAGGTTACTATACAAACTTGAGAGGCAGGCAGGAGTAGGCGGCAATGCATTAACATGGGTAAGGAATTACCTAACGGACAGGTGTCAGAGAGTGACATTGAGGGGCGAGGAGTTGGACTGGTGTAGAGTAACAAGAGGTGCCTCAAGGATCGATGCTGGGTTCCACACTATTCCTCATTTATATAAACGACTTGACTGAAAGAGTTGAGTTTTATATGTCAATGTTTGCAGATAACGTAAAACTAATAAGGATGGCTGAGACAGATGAGTGTAAGATTCTCCAGGATGACTTGAACAGGTTGCAGAGCTTGTCCGAGAAATGGATGCTAGAGTTCAACACCAGCAAGTGTAAGGTGATGGAAATGGGATCAGGAGCCAGGAGACCTAAAGGGCGATACATGATGAAGGGAAAGTATCTCCCTATAACGACTAAAGAAAAGGATCTGGGAGTGGACATAACACCGAACCTAACTCCAGAGGCTTGTATAAAAAGAATACCATCAGCCACATACTCTACGCAGGCAAAAGTTAGAACATCCTTCAGAAACTTGAATAAGGAGGCTTTTAGATCACTATATACTGCCTATGTGAGGCCAGTCTTAGAGTATGCCACCCCATCGTGGAGCCCCCATCTTAAAACACATATAAGAAAGCTTAAAAAAGTGTAGACGTATGTAACGAGACTCAACCCAGAGCTGCGAGTGATGAGGTACAAAGACAGACTGAAGGAATTAAACCTGACGACATTAGAAAGGAAAGGGAGAGGGGGAGGGCGACATGATATAAACGTATAACATACTTAAGAGGGATTGACAGGGTGGAAACAGAAATTGTTTACAGTGAATATCAACAGAACAAGGGGCATGGATGGAGGCTTGAGACTCAGATGTGTATAGAGATGTTAGAAAGTTTTCCTTTAGTGTAAAAGTTAGTGAGTAAATGGCATGACCTAAAGGAGCAGGTTGTAGTGGCTAACTCCATTCATAACTTTAAAAGCAGGTATGATAGCTAAATAGGTCAGGAGTCATTGCACTAGACAACCAACGGGATAGAAAAACAGGGTCCGATAGCTAGAGCTCAATCCTGCAGGCACAAATAGGTGAGTATTCACACACACATTCATTCATTCATTTCCAACAAGGATAAAAAACATTGTTCTGCAGTGTGCGGAATAACCACACTTTCCTTAGTTTGCATTATTAATGAGCTGGTCTCCAGAGCACGAATATATTGTTCTGCAGTGTGCGGAATAACTACACTTTCCTTAAATTGCATTATAAATGAGCTGGTCTCCAGAGCACGATTATCACCACCTTCCTTTTCTCCCACAGGGTACAGAACTTATTCGGGTCTCCAGACTAACGAAGGAGGCGCGGGAGGGGAAGTTTATGAAGTTTCTGTACGAGGACACCCGGACACTCTACGATGTCTTCCGCCGAGGCGTCAGGGAGTCCAGTAAGTCCCTACCTCTCACCCTCATGGAGAGGGCTGTTTAGCCTTATTGCATGTGAACACTGTGGACAGAGTACTAGAGTAACCCAAGCAACACAAGAAATGGAATGAAAGTGACAATATTATTGTGCACCCCATACTCATGCTATTAGTAGTAGTTTGTTGTATACCCCATACTCTTCCTATGAGCAGTAATTTGTTGTGCACCCCCATACTCTTCCTGTGAGTGAGCACACCCCATACTCATGCACCCCCATACTCATTCTGTGGGTGATAATATATTGTGCACCCCCATACTCATCCTGTAAGTGGTAGTTATTGTGCATTAAATAGATTTTAATTTATATATGTAACAATTAAGATTAGGGATATTATGATTATAAATACAGTACTACTTGGCACTCAGATCACAACCCAATCGAAGTTCAGACAAGCATGGGGCAATAGACCTGCGCAGCCAATCTCAAATATAAGAGGAGGAGAATTCAGCAAATTTGGTTTTAATAACAAACTGATTAACTGTGAACGAAGAAACCAAGACCTTACAAAAATATGTTGGAAAGAACAAGTAGATAATGGAAACCTAAATTAGTGCTTCAAGAAAATAGGTACGGTAGCACTAGAAATATGTAAAAGGTACATACCTCTAAGAAAAAAGAATAAGATGTAAAGTGGAACAAGAACAGCGTTCCCTCTATAGGCAAAGAAAACAAATAGCAGAACATCTCAAATGCTCCACTCTATCTCAACAATGATGAGGAAGGCTATCTATGTAGGGTAATATTGTAGAAATGATCGAGCTCAGGCTGCAAGAATCACATAAAATCCAAAAGAGAAAATCATAAAATCCAAAAATCTTAAAAAGCCATAAGTGATATTGAGAGGAATCCAAAATAATTTTTCTCATATGCAAAAACTATAAAAAACTGCATAGTTTTTGGTGCCTAGGCATAATCAGAGAATACTGTATAAACACCAGAGGTCCACGGTTGTCCAGCATCCTCCCAGCGAGTACAGGTATAAGAAATATTGCCGGAACAAACATGGACACCTTCAAGAGAAAACTGGAAAGTTTTCTTCAGGAAGTACCGGATCAACTGGACTGTGGTGGTTATGTGGGCCTGCGGGCCGCTCCAAGCAACAGCCTCTTGGGCCAAGCTCTCACAAGTCAAGCCTGGCCCTAAGCCAGACTTGGGGAGTAGAAGAACTCCCAAAGTGGCATTCAAGAACAATTCAGGCATCCAGCATTGAATCCCTGCACAAGGGTGATGGAACTTTCATAGATGACAACAAAGAAATTAGTGAAATACTGTACTGAGACTTTGGTAGGATTCAGTTTTCAGTGAACCCATGAACACATTGAAGATTAATGATCCAAATGAATTCTTAATGACTGTGACACCAATATCAAACCACATATCAGATATCACACTAACCTCGCTAGACTTTGAAGTAACCATAGACTGCCGCTAACCTCACTAGACTTTGAAGTAACCATAGACTGCCGCTAACCTCACTGGACTTTGAAGTAACTATAGCCATGCCCATGCACTCTGCACCAGGCCCAGACTCCTGGAATTTTATATTCATCAAGAAGTGCAAATCACCACTTTCACAGGCCATAAAAAGTTTTTGGAGACAGCCTAGATACTGGTGTCATCCCTGACATACAGTACTTAAAACAGCAGAGATTACGACACTTCACATAGGAAGTAGTAAAGTAGCTACAAAAAATTATATACCAATAGCTGTAACTTTATACACACAAATCTTTGAAAGAGTGCTAAGAATTTAGATTACAAATCACATAGAATCATAAAGTCTACATTACCCTGGGCAACACAGATTCAGAATAGGGCACTCTTGCCTCTCACAAATGCTGGATCACTTTGACATGGCATTAGGTTCCATAAAAGACAGGTAAAACGCAGATGTAATATACACAAACTTTGCAAAAGCTTTCGATAAATGTGACCATAGTGTTATTGTGCACAAAATGTGCTCAAAAGTACGTAGCTCAAAATCTTTAAATTCCTAATTAACAGAATGCAGACTGTAATAGTCAACACAGTAAAATCCTGATCATCCACCATGAAAAGCATAGTCCCCTAGGGTACCGAACTTGTTCCGGAACTTTTCTTATTCTGATATCAAGACATAGACAAGGATACTGTACAAACTATAGTACTGTATCATCATTTGCAGATGCCACTAGAATTTTCAATATTGACGGATCTGAATCTGCCTCGCTATGCGAGACAAGAGAAACTTTGGGAATCGGGGATCAATCCAAAAGAAAAATATCAAAACAAGCCATTGTCAGAAATCAAGGTATTCTTAGGAAGACAATATAGAGGACATAGCAAACATCCTATCTGATGTAAATCAAGTCTTTCAATGGGCCACAGATAATATAGAGGACATGGCAAACATCCTATCAGATGTAAATCAAGTCTTTCAATGGGCCACAGATAATAACACGATTTTACTGAAAATAAATTTCAGCCCCTGTGCTATGGAAAAAACGAAAATATGCCTGGCATCGTGCTGCCTGGCATCCTGATACTTGGCATCTAGGGTTTTAAATCTAATACATAGAAGATAATCCCTTTGTTAGTACTTGTCTAAGATTACTTTAAACTTGGACTACTGTGGTGTGCAGTTGATCTGGGCAACCTGCTTGATACCTGCTTAATGGGGTTCTGGGAGTTTTTCTACTCCCAAAGCCCGGCTCGGCCAGTTGGCAAGAATGCCAACTGCTCACATGTGAACATAAACCCACTAACAATTACACAATCCAAATTTAAAGTAAAAAAAACTTTACATCTATAAAAAACTTTATAGATGTAAAATGTAAGTGTTTTACATCTATAATTGAGTTTACACCAAATTACAGTACTGATTATTATTTACTTAGGAGAAAGTCATATTAACAGCATAAACAATTCAATTGAATTTTAAGAGTAATAAAGGATGACAGAGTAATAACTGATTAAGAGTAATAAAGGATTTTAAGAGTAATAAAGGCTGAAGGATGTGAGAGAAGATAGTTAATAGCATTGTTAAGAATATGTTAAGATAAAGTGTCATGTACATGTTGTGATATTAAGATAATGTGTCATGTTGTGATGCTGTCTGTGGCAACCACAACCACATGACCAGTATTTAAGTCAGTCATTATACTGTATCAAGTATCACCATTTGGTCACCACTTGGTCCGGGAGACATCTCCCGTCACGCAGGGTGCAGTCGCGCCTCCACAGATCTCCAGTATCATCTTTTGATACTGGTAATGGCTCGAAAGGGCCACCACTTACGGGCTATTCATGCCCGTGCCACCTCTTGGGTGGCTTAATCTTCATCAATCAATCTGTATCAAGTATAAAGAACAGAAGCATATGGACACAAGCTCTTGGCACTGTGTCTGTAGAGGTGCCACCCTGTCATGGTACTGAACAGTAGAGCTGCCATTGACAGTTCCAATGTGTCTTAGCAGTGTAGAGCTGGCACTGAGTGTCTTAGCAGTGTAGAGCTGGCACTGTGTTTGGCACTGAAGAGCTGGCACTGTGTTTGGCACTGAAGAGCTGTTTCTATGATAGGTTGAGAGAACTAACCCCTCACAACCTTAAAGGGGAAAGGAAACAGAGGGAATATGTTTAAGACATACAAAGTCTTGATGGGAATGGATAAGGTGAATATTGGAAGCCTATTTAAATTAAAAGGAGGCAGGACAAGGGGACATCAGTTAAAGCCGGATAAGTAATTGTGTTGAAGAGTTGTAAGAAAGTTTGTGTTCCCAGTATGGGTGGTCGGTGTAATGTGGTTGGTCAGTCGGTCGGTCGGTAATGTGGTTAAAATACTAATGTGGTCAGTGGTGGTCGGTCGGGATCCACTGATCCTCCGGCAAGTGGAATATATTGAAGGAAGAGGTTGTTAAAGTCATCTCCATCCACAACTTTTAAAAAATATATGATAAAAACGTTAATACAGTACTCAGTATTGAGAGGGGTAATTAATGCAGGTATAAATGGCTAGGAAGTGGGGCATAAGGAGGCAGATGTCATTCCCCCTGTAGTCACTAATAGGTAAGCACCATGTCTCTTGACATTGCAGAGTTGCTACCATATGTTTGACACTGCTGATTTGCCATTGCGCTTTTACTTTTAACAACGCAAATGTCACCAGCATTTAAGGAAAAGACATTGTCAGATTGTGTTTGCTCTGTGTCTTAAAAGGAAGGGTAAGATCTTATGGTTATTTCAAAGTGGGAATGGTATATACTTTAAAATGTGGCGTGTGCTGGTAGAAATATATCATAAAGCCTGTATGTGACACTGACATCATCCTCCTTTTTTTTTTTAAATTCTTTAATTACTGCCCAAACAACAACTACTGGGTATGTATAGTTTATACAAAACTAAGAATGGTTCTTCGCCTGCAGACAATGGCCCATGCCTGGGACCTCCTTTTTTTTTTCAATTCTTTAATTACTGCCCAAACAACAACTATGTATAGTTTATACAAAACTAAGAATGGTTCTTCGCCTGCAGACAATGGCCCATGCCTGGGACCTCCTTTTTTTTTTTTTAAATTCTTTAATTACTGCCCAAACAACAACTATGTATAGTTTATACAAAACTAAGAATGGTTCTTTGCCTGCAGACAATGGCCCATGCCTGGGAGCAAGAGAGGGCCCTGGAAAGCCCTACCAGTGGCTGCACTACAATGAAGCACTTTTAAGGGCAAAAAACTTTGGTGCTGGTCTAGTGGCTTGTGGTCTGAGCCCCGGACCCGAGACCTTTGTCGGCATCTACTCGCAGAACTGTCCAGAGTGGATCCTCACTGAACAAGGTCTCTACTGTCAGTCTATGGTCATTGTGCCACTATATGATACACTGGGACCAGAGGCATGCAATTTTATTATAAACCAAGGTGAGGAATTTTCATGGTAAATACATAGAAAATAATAATTAAGTAACCCACACATAAGAAAAGAAAAATGACAATACTGTATTTTGTTGTTCTTAACTGTTATCAAGTCATGTAATAATCCAGAATGGACCAAAATGTTATAATTTTCTTTTTGATATGTGTGGGTAGGGTGTCTAATGTTCAGCCATATTATTGTGCCTTACTGTCTACTACATATAGACAAATACTTGTTTCATATAAAAATCAATATTTATTCCTATAAAGTTCAAATATACTGTATATTTATATTTTCCGTCATTCAGCATGTTATTATAATATTGTATAATAAAATGACCTTAAGATTTTAAATTTCTTGTACCCTTTTTATATACAGTACATACACCCTGTACAGTAATTACCTTCATTTAAAAATTGTTGTGATAACTCGTTGCAACAGCCTCGATCAACACGGTGGTTTGCCAGGATGACAGCAAGATGAACCAGTTGTTGCAGAACCCACCCAAATGTCTCCAGACTCTCGTTGCTATCAAAGACGTCAGTCCTGAAACTGCTGATCTCGCAAAAAAATGTGGAATTGTTATCAAGTTCTTCGAAGAAATTGAAACTCTTGGTGCTGCGAGTGATCTTCCAGAGTTGGTGAGTTTATTACATTAATATTAATACAAAAAAATATTATTATCTTCGTATATTACAATGGACATGCTAAGATGGTTATTTTACATTGTTGACTTTGACCTTTCAGATGAATTTGCATAAATCTGTGAATTGGTGTTTAACTTAGGTTTTGGATGACTTGAACTCAAGTACACAATTTGCTGGACTTAAAAGTACTTTAATTGGTTTTCAAATATATGTACACCTGTGTACAGTATATGGGATCATCTGTGCTGTTATAGATTAATCATATATATTATCTATACAATAACAGATAACAGAAAACACTCTTGAAATAGATATCTAGTTAATTACTGTATTGCATTATTTCACATTAATGTATTATATTTGTATATATATTTTTTAAATTGGAGGAGACTAATTGGTAAGTTTACAGTGGATTAAAATTTAGTACAGTACTTTGTGGCCATTTTGTATTATATTTATGTTTAGTGACAACATTGTTATTTACATTTGTTGGGTACTAAAATTAAATATCAAAGTATTTGTCACATGTCATTGTAGGACATGTCCTACATCTCGCTAAAACAGGAAGAAAGGAACTTGAACAGTTGATTTGTTGGGGGGAACAGTCATATGTTTTCATAAAATCTCTCTAAAGTTAATTAAGAAATTACCACAACATTTATTATTCCAATTTGAAGTAATGATTGTCTAAGAGAATTAAAATAATGGCTTAAGAGCATTGGTTTCCCACAATATTTTTTTAATTACAGTACAGTGACTGTAATTATCAAAAGAAAGTATTGAGGCCCAGAGACTTTAGCAAAAAATTTTCTTAATAATGAAGAATCAGTGAAGGGCAAGCCATGATGTTTGATCAGTAAAGAGCTCCTTTAGTCTTGGTTATCTTGAGATGATTTCGGGGCTTTTAGTGTCCCCGCGGCCCGGTCTTCGACCAGGCCTCCACCCCCAGGAAGCAGCCCGTGACAGCTGACTAACACCCAGGTACCTATTTTACTGCTAGGTAACAGGGGCACAGGGTGAAAGAAACTCTGCCCATTGTTTCTCGCCGGCGCCTGGGATCGAACCCAGGACCACAGGATCACAAGTCCAGCGTGCTGTCCGCTCGGCTGACCGGCTAGAATACACAAAACCAACTTACATAATCAGCTGGGAAAGGATTACAATTCCTCCATCACGCCACTCGTACCATCAGTCCTCTATTAGACTTGATGTAGCTCTTTACTGAGTAAAATGTCATGTGCAATACCATCTTATCCTTGACTTCTGATTCTTTCAACAGACTTAAAATCATAAAACCATGAATGATATTAAAGTTTCTTAACAGCCGCCGCAGCCAGAGGATCTATGCACCATCTGCTACACATCTGGTACTACTGGTAATCCTAAGGGTGTTATGTTGACACATGAAAATATTGTTGCAGATGTTTCTGCAACACTCCTACAGCTCGCTGAACACAAGCCACATAAAGTAAGTTGATTTCTTGATGACAGACTAATACTTTACTTTGTAGTTATCTTATCTTTCATATTCATCCTTAAATGTTGATGTTCTCTTTGTCTTCCTACTGATGTGAATGAGTAAATATCGTCTTGAAATCATTATCCAGCAAGACACCTTGAATGCAAATTTATATAAATATATATGATATTAGTTACCTAGTGGTTATTGTAAAACTGTGTTGTTATTATTAATCTGGGAGGGAAAGGGGAAGGGAGCCTATGACTTGTGAAGGGTCAACTCTATTTATTATAATGAGTTTTTCAACTATTTTTAAGCTTAATGGCATTTCTAATTTAAATGGCTCTAGCAGGTGAATTCTTCCATAGTTATTATTATCTGTAAATATTACTTGTTTGTAAAAAGTAAATCCTGCCTATTAAACCTGCCTATTTGGAAACGGTAAGCAACTACACAGACAAAGGACTTTCAGTAGATGTAGTGTATACAAACTTCTCTAAAGCATGTTGTAAGGTGCCACATGAAAGACTGGCACAGAAACTGTAAACACAGGTTAAATGGTAAAAATACTAGAATTGATAAAATAATTGTTTAAATAAAAAGGCAGGGGGTCATCCTAAATGGATGATACTCTTACTGGAAAAATGTAGAATAAATTATTGCAAGATTCCATTTTAGAGCCAACCCTCTTTTGTATGATGACAAAATCACAATCCATATCATAATATTTGGAGATGACACAAAGATTTATGGCAAAATGGGAATCAAAAACGATACCCGAGTTTACCTGAAAGCCATTAACACTAGTGACCCCGATGAGGACAGGAAGCCGGTGCCTTGTCGAAGGTCTCCCCATTTGCTTTGATGATCTTTTCCAGCTGTACTGTATTTTAAAACCCAACTGAGTTTTTGGCATTGATGGCTTTGGCAGGTAGGCAGTACCATGGGTTTATAACCCTGTGGGTGAAAAAGCATCTCCTGTTCTCAATCTTACATTGTGGCTTGTTAAGCTTGAAACCATTGCTCCTTGTTTGTGCTACATTTGACCTTTTGAAGAAATTTTCCAGATCAACATCCTCCAATTTGTTCAGTACTGTACAGTATTTTAAATATTTCAATGAGATCCGCCCTGTCATGCCTGGTTTGTAGTGTTGTTAGCCCTGAGGCACTCAACCATTCCTAATACAGTACGTGAGTTGACTTAACTCTGGAGTGATTTTTATGCTCAGTGTTGCACTTTCTCCAGAGCAGCTGTGTCCTTCTGAAGATGAGGTCTCCATGCTTGGGTACAGTGGGGGCACACCAAATGAGATCCAAATGGGGGCACACCAGAGATTTATACAATTGAATCACTACCTCCTTTTCTTTGAAATCGAAGGTACACTTGATTATGCCAAATGCAGGCGATGAGTCACAATAACGTGGCTGAAGTATGATGACCAGACCACACACTAGAAATTGAAGAGACGACGACGTTTCGGTCCGTCCTGGACCATTCTCAAGTCGATTGTGTGAGAATGGTCACAATCGACTTGAGAATGGTCCAGGACGGACCGAAACGTCGTCGTCTCTTCAATTTCTAGTGTGTGGTCTGGTCACGATTATGCCAAATGTTTGGTAATCTTTTTTTTTTAGCTGCTGTTCCTACCCGTTGTGCAACTTTCAGTGAATGGTGGATTTTGACTCCAAGGTCCTTTTCTTCAATGATCTGCTGTACTGTAATGTTATTAATTAGGTAGTTGTGCGCAGGATGGTGTTCCCAACATGGATGGTCTTGCATTTGTTGATATTAAAAAGCATTTGCCAGTCTTCTGACCATTTGTGGAGTTCATGTAGATCTCTTTGTAAGGCTACAACATCATTAGCATTTCCCTCTTTGCCATAAATCTTTGTCATCTGCAAATTTGATGAAGTGGTTTCTAATATTCTCATCTATGCCATATATATATATATATATGACAAAAAAGGTTGGCCCCAAAATAGACCCCCTGTGGTACCCCCACTTACAGTATTGAGGCCTTGCAAAACAAGCTACATCAACTCAATAAATGATCAGAAGACTGGCAAATGTCTTTCAGGATTGAAAAATAAAAGTTCTTACATCAAAGGCATAATAATAATAAACACCATAACTATCAAATCAGCAACACAACCAGCAACAGATTAAAAAAGAAAAGAACCTGTGAGTTGTAATTTAGCCATTGAAAGTTGCTTAACATGTAAGAACAACAGTAAAAATAGCTAACCATGTGTTAGGAATAATCAAATGAACCTTTGACTTTAAGTCAAAGAAATGGTTATTAAGCTGCACAACTCCAATGAAATGCCCCCATCTGGACTACTGTAACCAAGATTGGAAACTTCTTCTTTCAAAAGTTCATGTCTGGATAACTTCCAGTGCAGTGACAAAAATCATCCCAGAACTAAGTGGACTCTCATACCAGGAATGATTGAAGGCCACAAGACTAACAACACTACAAACCAGACATGAGAGGACTTATCTCATGAAGACCTTATAGGAAATGCTTTTTCACTCATGAGGTAATGAACCAATGGAGTCACCTGCCTGCTGAAGCTATAAATGCAAAGACAGTACTGTTCATATGCTTTAATTCAAAATACAAATTAAAACAATCTTCAAGAATAATGATATATCTTTGATAAGCCTGGTTGAGGTTTGATAAGACCTGGTCAAGGACCAGGCCATGGGGATGCTAAGCCCCGAAATCATCTCAAGAGATCCTGTCCTTATCAAGACCGCTAGAGATGGTGGTCCTCAGGTAAATTCAGATATACTGTATGGCAACAAGTTTGGAATTGTGGCATTAGGTTTGCATAGGGTTTTAAACACCTTGGAAGATTAATTGGGAGTTAATTGTACTAACCTAAGTTTCTTGAAAGTCTCACTGATGAATTATATGTAGTAATGCTCTAGATTGTAGTAGTTTAAACACATGAATAGCTTTATATTTTAATGCTTTTCTCCTCCAGAGTGATGTGATGTTGTCCTTCTTGCCTTTGGCCCACATGCTAGAGCGTTGTTGTGAAGTTGCCGTTTATATAGCTGGCGGTGCTGTAGGCTTCTACTCGGGCGACATTCGTAACCTTCCTGATGATTATAAAGCCTTGCGCCCAACCATCACACCATCTGTCCCTCGCCTCCTAAACCGTGTTTATGATAAAGTAACATCATCAGTTAATGGGTCTGCCATTAAGAAGCTCATGTTGAAGATGGCAGCTGCAAGCAAGAAAGCTGAAATAGAAAGGTATGGTTTTATATTCATATCATTTACTTTGAATATTTCATTGACATACTTTGTAAATGCAATAAAGGATTGTTACACTATTAACAATACTAACATTATATACATTTTTATAAAGAAGTAATCTTTTGGCAGAGGTGTGGTCAGAAGATCATCAATCTGGGATAAATTAGTATTCAAGAAAGTGCAAGACGGTATGGGAGGCAGACTGAGGCTGCTGGTGGTTGGCTCGGCACCTCTGGCAGGCAATGTCCTCACGTTCATGAGAGTCGCATTAGGATGTGTTGTGAGTATATTTTACTGACACTTCACACATCTCATTTATTTTTTAAATACCCTTTGAGTCTGTTTTTCTGTGTGTATACATAGCGAGTATTTTTCAGCATGATTTTGCTCATTATTATTAGAGTACTCTAATGTGTTTATGAAAAATGATTGGAAATTAAATATAACACACAAGGAAAAATATGGTACAGTACATTATATCAGTTAGGAGATTCAGTAACATATTTTAAATACAGAACATCATTATGAAGTAGAAAAAGGTATTTAATAAGTATTATAAACTTTGAAGAGTTTAGCATTCATTTAAATAAGAGAATATCTTTCTGGGGGGAGCCCCGTCGGCTCCCCGGAGCTATCCCAGGCTGATATGCTAATGTCAGACTTTGGCATCAGTCATGTGTATGGAGTTCTTAGGCCTACCGGGGACCACGGCCAGAACCGGGCCCCCTCAGAGAGGCAAGGGGAGCAATGGCCTATAGAAGCCCCCGTGTAGTTGGAAGCATTCTATGTCTGCCATCGACCGGAACAGGCACCCAGAAAGGTAAGCGCCCCAAAACAAACCCCTATTCTGGTTAAAATTGCTACCTAATACCGAACTAGTGGATAGAACTCCCCAACCGAAAACAAGCAAATTAGTGTGACGTCACACACTGCCGCGCCGCTGTCTGCGCAGCTCCCCCCTCCCCGGGAGGGGGAAGGGGGAGCCCCAGACCCCCCGCGCCGGCTACCCACACCTCAGTTCTTGAGGCTGATGCTATTGGCGGTGGTCCCAAGCCCCAAGGGCAGTACTTACAGGGCACCTAGGGAAGGCAGCCCTAGGCGCATGCAGCCCGAGTACTGAAGATAACTCCTGGCCCTCGTCGGGCCTGTGTTGCTTTGGGTCGGCGGTTGCAGCCAGTTGTCTCGGCTTCGAGTTGAGGGGTGAGCGACGACCGCCTCCCGGGTAAGTCCCTCTTTTTCTGTCTGTGGGTAGTTAGCTCCGGGGAGCCGACGGGGCTCCCCCCAGAAAACCAGCGTTGAATGTAATGAAACGCCATTTTCTGGGTGAGTCCCGGAGGCTCCCCGGCATCCCTCCCTCCCTCCGGTCGGCGGTTTTTCGCGTTTTTGACATCCAGCCTCAAGAACTGAGGTGTGGGTAGCCGGCGCGGGGGGTCTGGGGCTCCCCCTTCCCCCTCCCGGGGAGGGGGGAGCTGCGCAGACAGCGGCGCGGCAGTGTGTGACGTCACACTAATTTGCTTGTTTTCGGTTGGGGAGTTCTATCCACTAGTTCGGTATTAGGTAGCAATTTTAACCAGAATAGGGGTTTGTTTTGGGGCGCTTACCTTTCTGGGTGCCTGTTCCGGTCGATGGCAGACATAGAATGCTTCCAACTACACGGGGGCTTCTATAGGCCATTGCTCCCCTTGCCTCTCTGAGGGGGCCCGGTTCTGGCCGTGGTCCCCGGTAGGCCTAAGAACTCCATACACATGACTGATGCCAAAGTCTGACATTAGCATATCAGCCTGGGATAGCTCCGGGGAGCCTCCGGGACTCACCCAGAAAATGGCGTTTCATTACATTCAACGCTGGTTTTTTGTTTGAGGTTGGGGGCTAAATGCTTGGGGCTAGCCTCACCAAATTTTGCAGGGTGATTTGTGTTATAGGGTGGTTGGGGGCAATCTCCATGCCCTTCTTGAAGTAGGATTGGCTCCTTTTGCGACAACCAACAACTACTACGAAGTCTGAAATGTGGGCTTAATTGTCCGTAGTGTTTAATCTGATGTTTCTAATGTCGACATTAAATCAGTGCTATTGACGTCGATTCTACATTACTAGAGCATGTTTTGCCCACTGGGAGAGAGAATGGGTGGGAGGGAGTATGGGAGGGAAGGTGAACTTGAGGGAGGGAGAGAGAGACAGACAGGGACCTGGGCACTGCTGGGTATCCCATCTATCTATTAAAGTGAATGTCTGGCCAAGGTTGGAAGCCAAATGCTTGGTGGTAGTCTCGTGCAATTTTACATGGTAATTTGTGATTTTATGGAGAGTCTCATATAGGGTGGTTGGGGTTGGCACCTATGTCCACCCTTGAAGAATCGACCTCCACACCCCCCATCATAAAGTTGTATATAAAATGTGTAACCAAAAGTCTGTAGAGTTTAGCATTCATTTAAATATTAGTGTATTTGGATTTTGACATGCAATATTAAGATTTAAATGAGATTTGAGTTCTGGGCACAATCTTTTGATTACTGTGATGTAGATAGTGTGTACTGAAAATGGTTACAGTGACTGGGGGATATGAAAAGAGTATGTGTGGATGGAGACAAGGCGGGTGTGAGAGAGAGGGGGGGAGGGGGGTATGTTGTTTGTGAGGGAAAATGGGGAGGTTGTGTTTAGGGGAAGATGGGGAGTGTATGTGTGTAATTAAGTACAGTAAGTGTAGTTACAGGATGAGAGCTACGCTTGTGGTGTCCCATCTTCCTAGTACTCTGTCATATAACGCTTTGAAACTACAGTACTGACCGTTTTGGCCTCCACCATCTTCTTTCTTAGCTTGTTCCAACTGTCCACCACTCTGCAAAAGAAAACTTTTTAATATTTTTTTGGCACCTTTGTTTCCTTAGCTTGAATCTGTGTCCTCTTGCTCTTGAAGTGACTGGTTTAAGGAATTCCTCTTCGTCAATTTGGTTAATTCCTGTTATTATTTTGTAAGTGATGATCATATCACCTCTTTTTTTCTTCTGTCTTCTAGCATTGGCATATTTATTTAATTATTTATTTATTGAGTTGTAATTGGTCTTTATTACTTTTTCTTTAAGTAATAAAAAATAAACTACTATATAGTTTTATGAAGGAAGAGCAGTTACAGACATATTCAATAGCTAGAATTTATAAAATTGATTTGATAATTTTGTGTATAAATATTATATATAAATTAAGTGCATTACTGTATACTGGGTCCTTTATATTGAATTTATAATTATTACTTTATCTCAATTTGAATATTAAAAGTCCTTATGTGCCAACATTTGTGTGTGTATGCTTTATTTAATCTCTGAGATTGTTTGAGGTGTTTGGTCATTATTGTGTGTGTGTCCGACAGATTGTTGAAGGATATGGCCAAACAGAATGTGGTGCTCCTGCAACTTTGACCGTCCAAGGCGACTACCGCCCTGACCACGTAGGCCCTCCTATTGCATGTAATGCTATCAAGCTCGTCGATGTCCCCGACATGGATTATTATGCCGCTCAAAGTAAGATGTTTCTCATTGTTGGATTGTACTGTACATCTGGCAGTATCATTTGATGACACCATTTTCTGGTACATAGTATAAATAGTGTAGAAGATGAACATAAAATTCAAAGTACAGTACTGTAGTTTTGCGAGTGTTTCACTATTAGTGAAAGGTATCAAGTGTAGGAGCAAAATGGTAAAAAGGAGTTGTCAGGTGTTTTCACTACTGACCAATGATAAACAAAATCTAATTTAATTTTTGTAGACTACTGTATTCCACATTTTCTCTCTTTAACCTTAGATTTGGTGGTGGTAAGTTTTTATAGCAAACTTTTATTTCCTGCCTTGTAAAAGCTGATCTCCTTGCATACTTATTCAATGTTTATCTTTCTAAGTAAATCAAACTTCTTTCTGCAAGTTGGACAATTCTATTATTAACACACATTCCTAGATAATAACTTTTCATGTTAGAGTAATCTAATGGGATAAAATTCCCAATGCTCTATTCATTTTATCTTTACCAGTAAAATAATGTTTTTTTTCTTTTCTGTGTTACTTTGCATCTAAAGATTAGCATCCATACACAGGTTATAGATTAGCATACATTCACCGGTTATAGATTAGCATACATTCACAGGTTATAGATTAGCATACATTTACAGGTTATAGATTAGCATCCATACACAGGTTATAGATTAGCATACATTTACAGGTTATAGATTAGCATCCATACACAGGTTATAGATTAGCATCCATACACAGGTTATAGATTAGCATCCGTACACAGGATATAGATTAGCATCCGTACACATGTTATAGATTAGCATTCGTACACATGTTATTGATTTGCATCAATACACAGGTTATAGATTAGCATCCATACACAGGTTATAGATTAGCATCCATACACAGGTTATAGATTAGCATCCATACACAGGTTATAGATTAGCATCCATACACAGGTTATAGATTAGCATCCATACACAGGTTATAGATTAGCATACATTTACAGGTTATAGATTAGCATCCATACACAGGTTATAGATTAGCGTCTATACACAGGCTATAGATTATAACCTATACACAGGTAAAGCTGTGTACACATGCTAATACAGTTTAAACAAAATAAAGAAGAATTGTAAATATCGTGGTTGTTCTGAAGAGGTCAGAACAACCACAACCACCATATTTACAATGGTTGTTTATTTTGTTTAATCTGTATTAGCATGTATACACACAGCTTTACCTGTTGGTCACTATGACTGATGGCTGTGGTAGGGATAGGAAGTTGGTAGCTTGTGAGAGGGTAACCCCCCAGTCTTCCTCAAGTATCTTGTTACCTGTACATCATTGTACAATATTTTGAACTGAAGCGCATTCCTTTGTTTTATAGCTTTGTGAGTAGTCTGTTCTATAAGTTTAATATGCATTAGTATATAAAAAAGGGCATTACATTGTCTAGAATAAGAGTATCTTGTGTAGCTCAAAAACTTTTTACTCAATTTTTTGGGGTCACCCACTTTCTTTATTCTTTGGAAATTGTGACCCCCCTGATGAAATTTTAAGTAAATGGTTCCATATTGTCCACAATAGCACACATTCCTTGATTTTAATATAACTATTTCCTGTTCTGCATTGTGGCTTTGCTAGCTGGAAATTATTACTTCTTGTGTGTAATGTTGGACCTCCTGAAGAAGAGATCAAAATATTTTTAAAGTTTCTCAGTATTTTGAACACATCCTTCTCCTAGCATGCTGTCACAACGGCAAGACAAAATTACAGGTTTTATAACGAACTTTTCAAACAAGAGATTGCCATACTAGTGATGATATTATTCAAGACACTAATGCTCTCTGGAGTGGAATGTTATTGAACACTAACAGCCCCATTCAAAGCTGGACAAATTGCTGACCTGGAGAGTGTACACAGGTCTTTTATTACCTGAATCCACTTAATAAAATGTCTATATTAGGACTGCTTAAAATTTTTTAATCTATATTCCTAGAGTGCAGGTGGGAGCGATGCATAATAATTTACACTTGAAAAATATTAGAAGGAATGGTTCTAAAGCTGAACATGGAAATAACACAAGAGTGGAAATAACACAAGAGACCACAAGGATGGCAGGAAATGCAAAATAGCCCTGTTGAAAAGCAATAGGTGCATTAGGTACACTTGAGAAAGAGGGCCCAATGACATATAGGCCCAAGACTTTATAACAAAATGCCTCTAAACATAAGGTGCATAACTGGCCAATCTCTCATGGTGTTCAAAATAGACTTTGATAAACACCTTCAAAAGATACCTGATCACATCGCAAGGACACATTTGCCTCCTTCACTTTTCACCTTGCCATAGCTATTTTCATGATCTGCAAATGTAATGATTTTGTTTGTGATGAAACATCAGTATCAGTGATGCATTTACAAGAAATATATTAATACAAGTATAAAGAAACCATAAGCCAAGGAAAATACTCGCTACAAAATCTACCCCACCTCTATGAGAGATGATATAATTACAGCAACCAAATTTTAATGAACAATTCGGTATGTTTCCTTTCACCTGATCTACCTGTTCACCTTGCAGTAAGGTACAGTAGGTACCCAAGTGTTATATTATAATTGTTGTGGGTTGCATCCTTGGGAAGGTCAGTAGTTGGCCTGGGGAAGGGGGGAGAGTTCTCTCGATTAGCCTAAATACAGTACAATGTTATGATCCCAGGTAGCTGAGAAACGAGTCTAACTTGAGAGGTAGGTAGTAATAGTAATAGTAACTACTACAACAGTAATAATGTTGTAGTAGTCCTGCCGACTACTACAACATAATAACAGGTACAGGCTTTATGTCCCCAGACAATGGGGACCTTGTATTTACCTGTTAAAGCCACTTGAGATAGTGACCAACATGTGAAAACTCTTTGTCAACAAAATTATAGGCTAGCTTCTGTTTTTAGGGTTTGACCTGTAATTATGTCTTAATATTTTCTATTATAAACTATGCTCTCCAGCACATAAATGTAAATATAATAGTGTATACAATTAACACTAATAATTTTCTAAACAAATTTTTTTTTTTATTTTTACAGGTCAGGGTGAAGTTTGTATTAAAGGTTCCAATGTATTCAAAGGCTATTTTAAGGATCCAGAGAAGACTCGGGAAGCAGTTGACGCAGCGGGATGGCTACACACCGGCGACATCGGCCAGTGGCAGTCTGTAAGTTATTACACATTTCTCCTAATTGTAGTAGATGAAAATTGAATAGATCAATAAATGTCAAGCAAATCATATGAATTAGATTAAATATATGTTAAGCACTCATTACCACCAGATGTATTAATGTTGTTTTAAAATCAGTGATGTAAGTTGATGTACAAGGGTGAAGGTAGGTGGTACTTGTGTACAGTACTGGGTTATGTCGCCTCATTTGAATGATTGTTTGTTTGCTCTCCTATAACAATATATTTCAATAGTGTTGTGGCAGTCATTTTGATAGCATGTGTCTTTTAGGGTTTAGATATGAAAAGAAAAACTTATTATAACAAAATAAGAGTGTAATAAGTTTCCTGTATAAATTAGTTTTTACCAGTCAAAATTTATTGGAAATACATCTTGGCCAACAAATTAATAATACAATAATATTAATAATAATAATAATTTATTTGCAAGAAGGTACAATGGGTTGGTGAGATTACACAATATTGGTATTTTAAAATTCGTGCAAACCCACTAACACACACAGCATTTCGGCCAACAAATTAAGGTGCGAGTCGACATTACTAGTGGCGTAGGGAAGGGCAGGAGACCTAGAGGCGGCAGTAGTCTGTTATTCTTGTCTGCTGGAGCATCTCGCCGTGCAAACGGTTTCACGTGTTACTTTTCTATTTGGAAGAAGAAATACTTCCTGTTGTCATTTGTGCTAAGTGACCTGTGTTCGTGTGTTCACACTAGAGCAGTGTGCTGTGAGAGTGGGTGATGTGTCAGTGGTATGCACACATGGGTGATGTGTCAGTGGGTGATGTGTCAGTGGTATGCACAGGTGGGTGCTGTGAGAGTGGGTGACGTGTCAGTGGTATGCACAGGTGGGTGCTGTGAGAGTGGGTGACGTGTCAGTGGTATGCACAGGTGGGTGCTGTGAGAGTGGGTGACGTGTCAGTGGTATGCACAGGTGGGTGCTGTGAGAGTGGGTGACGTGTCAGTGGTATGCATGCTGTGAGAGTGGGTGATGTGTCAGGGTGCACAGGTGGGTGTGAGAGTGGGTGATGTGTCAGTGGTATGCACAGGTGGGTGCTGTGAGAGTGGGTGATGTGTCAGTGGTATGCACAGGTGGGTGCTGTGAGAGTGGGTGATGTGTCAGTGGTATGCACACATGGGTGATGTGTCAGTGGTATGCACAGGTGGGTGCTGTGAGAGTGGGTGATGTGTCAGTGGTATGCACAGGTGGGTGCTGTGAGAGTGGGTGACGTGTCAGTGGTATGCACAGGTGGGTGCTGTGAGAGTGGGTGATGTACTCACCTAATTGTACTTGCGGGGGTTAAGCTTTGGTTCTTTGGTCCCTGATGTGTTGGGGACTTGTTGAGACCAGGTTCTTTGAATTGATATTCCACTGCACTATTATCATTTATTATTATTATTACAACAGTATTTTTAATAGTTATTATCATCATCATCATCATCATCATCACCATCATCATCATCATCACCATCGATGACATGAAAAACATGAAAAATGTTTTTGACATGAAAAAATAAGAATTAGAAGAGTTAGAATTGACAATGTGAAAGGCAGGAATGGTGTCAGGAGAATAAAGGAACAACAGGAAATGAACTTGGGAACTTGGATGATGAGGACAATGCAAACTTTTGCTATAAACTTATTATAAGTTTATCATGTACACTTATGATACCGTGCTTTCACATAGCAGTAATTTGTAAATTATTTGGGTATAAAATCATTATTATAATGTTTCTCTCTCTTACAGAATGGCACATTGAAGATTATTGATCGCAAGAAGCACATTTTTAAGCTTTCACAGGGTGAATACATTGCCCCTGAGAAAATCGAAAATATATACGTACGATCACAGTATGTCGCTCAAGTGTTCGTACATGGTGAAAGTCTGAAGGTGAGTCTTGAATAGGTTGTAGTATATTATTGAGATATTAGTGTGTGTGAAAATTGTACCGTATATGATATTTTTGTTTACTAAGGTTTTTAATTCATGCATGCTTATTTTTATTTCTGAAAGTATATGTTATGTATGTATATGTTACATATGTATATGTTACATAATCTTGAGTACATGTGCACATGCTATAGCTAGAAAGCATCCCATTTCCTTTCCTCTTGATGCAGGAATTTAAACAAATTATTTAAAAACATTTCTCATTCTCACATAAGGAAACCTGCTTCATCCAAAAAAAAAAAAAAAAAAACTTTTTTTGGAGCCCAATGTTGTATCTGATGTTCCATTGCATCACATGTTTAACCTTTTTTGTTCTCTTTGCCAGCAGTTATGTTTGATTATTATAAATGATAAAATACAATTTTATGTATATTTTTATACAAAAATTACATGGAGAAAGAACATTTAAACTATAATATTAATTTATTTCGAGAATGTTATTTTCTAGTGTAATCATTTTTATAACTAATACTCAGTTCAGCACAGTGTTCTCTTCCTGCAAAGATAATTGGAATGCTTAACTGGCCAAAAACACACACTTACCACTAAGATATAATGATAATTTAGTTGATTATCCAAAGATTATATTGTTATTAAAAATACAAATGTGCATGAGATTTAAACCATCCTAAAATGTTAAAAATAATGTAATAATGTTGAGTGGCAAATAAAAAGTATTTGTGGACACGTTGATGTGTTGTGGTGGTAGAGGACAGGCACGGGGCTCAAAAACTCTAATGATGACAATATTTACCTGAACTTACCTGAGGGCCACTAATACCAGTGGCCTTATATATATAGCAATATATCAATGTTCATTTAATTTCTTTGTTGACAGTCAAGTGTGGTGGGCATTGTTGTACCAGAGGTGGAAGCTGTTAAAGAATGGGCAAGGGAACAAGAAATTCCTGGTACACTTTCAGTTCTTTGTGCCAATCCTCACGTTAAACAGCTCATTATGGATGATATTACAAACCTCGGCAAAGCAGCTGGTCTGAAGTCCTTTGAGCAGGTGAGGTTTTGTGCAGTACATTATTTAATTCAGAAACTTTTATATACATATGATGCTCAGTGTTAACCCTTACACTGCTCTGATCACTTAAAGAGCAATTGGCCCATATGTTCCAATCACGTAGAGATGATTAAAGGTGCTCCATTTTATTCATAAGCCCCACTCATTCTACGGGGATGTTGTTTGACACTAGAGACCACTGTTGATTATTTGTCATATTTGGAAAAAATCCTAACCCTGGAAACACGAACCGAAACTGTCTCTATTTTCCGCTTGTTACAACTTGTAATAAAGTTGTTACATCTTGGCTTAACGTGTTTATGACGTGTTAGAACGTTGTTACAACTTGCTATATTGGTTGTTATAACTGGTTATGAGGTGTAAAACTTGTTCGAACGTTGTACGAACGTGGTAGTTTCGGTGTGTGTTTGGCGGGAAGTCCTTTAGCATCTTTCTAGGGCCTTGGTGAAAAGATGGAGAGACCATGTCTTGCACAAAACCATCCAGTACTGAATGCACTGAGTGGCCATGCTAGGGACCATTTAACAGCAGCAAATCAGTGATACCCGTGTTTATAATTTATATAATTGCATGCAAAATTTGTTTGTTTAAATTATAAGATTTAGGCTTTATACATAAAGTATATTTATAAGTACAATAATGGGTTTCAATAAATACAGGGCATGCGTATGTATACACTATATTTGTACATAGATGTATTTCCAAACTTTTACATAATGATTGCCAATATTGACATATTAATTAATACATGTGAGTACAAAAATAGAGAAATGGTGAATGCTAACGAGTAGGAATACTAGTTGCGTTCAGGGTTACTAGTTTTTCTTTCAGCAGGAGTTTCTTTGCTCTTTCTGACTGTAGATTGCAATTTTATCGGCTAGTTGTTTGTTTTGGTTTGCCTATCTTTCTGTGTGCCCACCCTGGTCGATGGCGGAATATGACATACTTTAAACGTAAAGTGCTCATATGCCATGGCTCCCTGCGCCTCTCTGAGGGGGGTGGGGGGGTGGGGCAGGGTCTGCCTCTTGGTCCTCAGTAGGCAAACAACTCCTGTGACTGATGACCCAAACTAACACTTTGCTTGACCTGGCGGGCCACCCGCAGCATTGCCCACGAGCACACAACCCAACGTTAAATGCTTTCACTCATATTGTTTATACTTACTAATTAGAATAAGCAAAAATTAATCAATGACGGCATTAAGTCATCACCCAAACTGCGCTTATTTTTTTAATGACGGCGTGAACGTCATCACGATGCCAAAGTGATGACGTTCACTATATCACTATACTGTTCACTATATCAGTTCGGATAGCTTCAGGGAGCTGATGGGGCTCCCCCAGAAAAAAACGTAATGAGAGCAGCAGGTGGTCACTACTGTAACATGAGAGAGCAATTTTGGAAGAAGGCTTTATTAAGTTGAAAGCAAAACTGGGAAGGTCAATGACAAATCCCAGTTATAGCTCTAAGAAATGTCAACCTCAGTCATTTTATTAGGCAGAGCCTTTTCTCTCTTTGAATAGTCGAGTTATGCAATATGCTGGGTATGAAAACTAAGCTAAACCAAAAATTAAAAAATGTCAACTAGTACTCAGCAGGAGCCGAGCACACAAGGCAGGACTAAAGATAAGAATATTAAGCACTCATACTGTTGCATGTAAATGGAACTTTTCCCAACCTGAACACTAAAGAACTGTATTCATACATACTTGCTGAAACCTTCACCAAAGAGCCAGGCAGGTAACCTGCAGCTAACAAGAGGATTCTGTTGGCGGTCATATGTTATACCAAGTGAGGGCTTGAAAAAGAGGATCAATTTAGTTTTCCTCCAGTGACTTCTAACATCCATTAAAACTCTGCAGGAATGATTGAATATTCCATGTGGCGCTGGTGCCAAAATGTCCTGTTGTACTGTTTGTGGGCCTGGTCACGTAACACGAGATGGCACAATGATTATGCTCAGAAATGCACTTTGGATATATTTTGCAGCCACTGTATTTAGTTGTCTTCATAGAGACAAGAATTACCTTGTGACTTGAGGAGGATCTTATTTTTTCTGAACAGGTTATCCAAGTGTAGGCCAGTTACTTGAACTGGCTAAGTTACCCAACCCTTGTTTTTGCAAGACCACAATCAGCTATTCATTTTAAATCCAGATCCTCATTTATTGTTGAGTGTACAGGAGAAAACTGTGCTAAGCTATGGTGTCCAGTCATCCCATCGTGTGCAATATTTTATCCCAGCTCCTCACATGTGAGGTTAGAGTGTAACTTAACCCCTTAAACTGCAGGATATATATTGCTGCATTGTTGTACATGCACAAGAAAAATGTTTTCCTCATTTAACATTGTTAATCAGCATCCAGGAAGCAGGAAAATCCATATTCAGTTTCTACCTATCATAGTTTAGCTATTGTGACCCAAAAAATTTGTTTTCTGGGGGTAGTCCCTTCGGGTATCTGGAGCTATCTGGGCTGACATGAATGTATTTAGACCCTGGCATCAGTCAAGTGATTGGAGTTCTTAGGCCTACCTGGGACCATAAGCCAGAACCTGCCCCCCCCCCCCCCCCTTAGAGAAACACTAAGAGCAATGGCCTTTAGAAACCCCCATGTGGTTGGAAGCATTCTATGTCTGCCATCGACCGGGTCAGGCACCCAGAAAGGAAGGCGCCCTAAAACAAACCAATCTGGTTAAAAATTGCTGCTGAAAGCCTAACTGTTGGACAGAACTCTCTAAACTAAAAATGAGCATGACATCACAACTGTCACCACGCCGCTGTATGCGCAGCTACCTCCTCCCCGGAAGGGGAAAGAGGGAGCTCCAAACCCAGTTCAATGGCTGATGTGAGGTCTGGCAGTCATGCGACTCTGGCTCCAGACATTTTCCAGTGCTGTGCCTTGTGGTGTGGTCCTGTCCTGTGGTGGTATGCAAGCCAGGAGTATTTTCACAAGTACTCGGGCTGCATGCTCCTGTAAGTACTGCGCTTGTGGCTTGGGGGTTATCTTCCACAAGGCGCTTGAAGTCTGCCTCCGTGGGGTCTTCTACTGCTTGGTGATTGCCTGCCTCTTGAAGTCAGCTGGGGTGCTTCATGCTCCACTGTTTGTCTGGGTAGGAGGTAGTTTTGTATCTGATTGGGGCGCAATGTACTGTGCAACTTGTTTTCACCATAATACAGCGGCCAGCTCTGTTCTGCCTGGATCGTTGTGCTCTTGTGGGGTTTTTCTTTATTTTTGTTTTTCCTGCCTGGTGAGGGTTCTGGCCCTTGGTGTTGATACCTCGTATATATATATAAATGGTCCTCCACTAGGTCCCTGTGAGTGTACACGTCCCGGGAATTCAGCTTTTAGCAGTTCATTTGGTAGTTTGGAGCACTGGTTAGCAATACCTTACCTGGGCTTCCCTTAGCAGAGCATCTAAGGGCCCTGGAAACCCTGGCTGGGGCTCAGTGGTCCAATGGATGCATTTTCTGGGCCCAATCTCACGTTGTGAGAGTTTGAAGGTTGCTCTGTCCCTTTGTCGCAGGGTGCCAGTCACCGGATGTGCCTCTGTCATGCTGTCTGTTGGGTCAGTGACAGTGACCTTCGACCTGGAGTCCTACGAGTGATGTTGCTTGCTTGTACTCCAGTTCACTCAATCCACTGATCTTGATATTCCGGTGCAGGCAGCTTCGGCATTGCATGTACGTTTTAGGTTGTTGCAGTGCGCTAGGTTGGTTGCTTACCTGAATGCCCCGGGACTGCCTCATTTTTGTTAAAGGGACTCTGACTTGGGGGTGTTAATTGCTGCGACTTTGGTTTCCTCCATGTCCCCTTGTCCTTCCCCTGCTGCTCTTCGTCCTGTTTTTCTCCCCCCCCCCCCTCCTTCCCCTCCCCCTGCTTCCTACTGCAAAGCGTTTGAGGGTTTCGGAGCAGGCAAGGTTTAGTTGGTGGTGAGACTTGGGCAGTTTCAGGGGGGGTGCCCCTTCCAGTGTGACGATGGAGGCATTTGATCCTGTTCCTCCAGCCGGTGCTTTTGGGTCTGACCAGTGAGCCAACTTCGTTCCAGCTTTTCCAGCGACCTCTGCCTCTTCTTTTGAGAAACAGGGTTTAAAGGATGACTCGGCCCTTGGACCTGGTGTGGAGATTCCCGGGGCAGGGGAGGGGTTGACTTGGGGAGGTTGGGCCCCGTTTGACCCCTGCTTGGGCTTTGATACCTTCTGAGCGGGGCTTCTTGTTGCAGGGGGTGGGGTTTTTCTTATCCCCCCTCCTTGTATGAGTTTGATATGGCGTCAACCCCTCCCCAGGTTCGGTTTCGGGTTTCCTTGAGTACTTCGGTCCCTTCCTTCCGGAAGTTTTCAGCCTCCCACCTCATGAGCTGTGGGAGGCCATTGTGGCTTACCTCCTGCATGATCCGGATTACGCCTCGATAATGGATGCTGCATCTTTTGAGTTCGGTTCTTACAGGGCGCGTTACAAGGTTCCAGAGTCGTCCTGGTTGGCAGACTGTCCTATCTTATCGTTGCAGGGCAAGCCATTAGTTCTGTCGGTCCCGCATGCTTGAGTGGCCCTTACAGTGGTTCAAGTTTACTTAAGGGGGTGACGAGTTTGAGCGTTTTAGGTTGTTGCGGTTAATTTTAACTGGTAACTTTTCTGACACCTCTTGCTTAAAATTCCTAAAGTCAAAAGGATCGATTGGCCTTGCTTTCGCAGTCCGTATTCGTACTGAAAATCAGGATCAATCCAGCATTCGCCTCAATTCGTGTTTGTTCACCCCTGCCCTTCCTCGGGATGTCGGCCTGGTACAGCTTCACGTGCAGGTTCCCGTCCTTTCGGCTGCCCTGGTTGCTGGGTACGGGGGTTTTGGAGGTCGATCAGGGTCCTGGCTACCTGATATCTAGCAAACATTCTGAGCCCTATCCAGCATTGAGTGGCTTTGGCTCCCTAGCATCTGTTTTAACCTTGCAGGAATACCTGAAACTTGGATGTGGCACTAAAACCAAAATATTGTCCTGTATGACTTCATATGACATATGAACTTACCTAATAGGGCAATTAAATTATTCTGCTCTGAAAGGGGCTTTTCATATTCACACATATTTTATTTTGTGTAGTTTTAAAACATACTTTAATTTCTGTAGAACAGTTCTGCAGAATTATTACATCACACTAGTTACAAATATTGTGGCACACAATTTAGTAGCCATTAATCCAATGACTGTCCATCGGTGGATTACTGCCTGTGTCCAATCATCAACCTCCTACCCAAGGTTATGCTTTATTGATGACCAGACCACACACTAGAAATTGAAGGGACGACGACGTTTCGGTCCGTCCTGGACCATTCTCAAGTCGATTGTGAGAATGACAATCGATTGTGACAATCGACTTGAGAATGGTCCAGGATGGACCGAAACGTCGTCGTCCCTTCAATTTCTAGTGTGTGGTCTGGTCAACATACTTCAGCCACGTTATTGTGACTCATCGCCTGCTTATGCTTTATCATTCATTTTTGTTCTTGCAGGCCAAGGATATATATCTCCACCCCGATCTCTTCAGTGTCCAGAACGGTCTCCTTACCCCTACTCTCAAATCCAAGAGATTACAACTCAAAAAATACTTTACTCCACAAATTGATGATATGTATGCTAAACTGCCCTAGATCAGATTGATCTGTTACTTAGGTCAAATAAAAATCTTTTTACCGAGTGAGATTTTGACTGTTGTGCATGTTGGGTGTGTGATATGTGCAAGACTGTATTATGAATGCCTATTGAAAAAATTGACTTGTGCCTCATATTGTCTGTACTTATTATATGACAATTACATATGTAATTACCTACTATAAAAGAACTTGTCTACTGATTACTTGGACATGGCTTAGGTTTGAAAACAAACTAGACACCTACGTAGGGAAGAAACGGCTTCCCTTTCTTCAAACTGGCCGTTTTATATATTATTCACCAAAATTTATAATTAAATAAAACTGTAGAACTATAAAAGATAGATTATAAATATATTACAGCATTTTTTAGATTGTGGTTATGAGTAAATTAACTTACGTACACTTATTGCAAAAATTAACCAAAGTTGCTTGGCATATTGTATTTCTTTTGCCTCATTATTATTAGTAGAAAACATTTAGATATGTGAAATAAATTTGAATATTGTACAGTTAAAGAATTAATATAAATAGTTATTTACTGTATGCAGTTTATTATCTTTCAATGTTTTTTGTGTATTTATGTAAGAACAAAGTAGACTGGTACACTTGACTGTCACAATTATTCTTTTTGTTTTAATGTCCAGTCATTGATAAAATGTGTGGCAGTATTTTTTTATTTTTAAATACATATTTATTAGTGAAGTAGGCCAATGATGTGCGTTTCAATTGTCTGTGTTAATACAAGTTATAATGTAATATGATCACAACTGTAAGAAAAGCAGGTTTAAAAGTTACAGGATAATTCCGTGTTTATGAAATGGGAATAAATGTTTAAGAGTGTTAGGCACCATACATTCTAGCCGAGGGAGAGAGGTGTATTCCATAATGTTAATTACTCGAAGCAAGTTTACCTGTCCAGATTGTGCAATAGGTGTGTATGGTCATAAAGAAGGCTATGGAAGTAAACAATATTCTAGTCAACGTCATCATATCTCACAAGATGGCATTGCCTTAGGTGCTCAGTTTGTGTGGTTGCTTGTACTGTGTATTCAGTATTTTATATGGTATTCCTTTTCAAATTGTACTAATGTCACCGAGTTTTAATCTTCAGAACTTTTTTTTTTTTTTAAATATGAGCAGCTAGAAAAAAAAAAGGCAGAATAATCTTGTATAGTATTAGGTACTATGTCACAAAGTGACATAGTACCTTGCAGTGTTCTCTGTAAATAGTCCCTGCACAGTTGAACTTGGGTGGCACTGTAATTTACATACTCCCATAACTGGAGAGAACAGATTTCCTTTCTGTCTAAATTTCAGTTAATGTGAAAACAAATGAAAATGCCTTATTTCCCAGTATTCTTCATTCAGTGTTAATATTGTATCATAGAAGTAAAAAACTTAAAAACTGTTAGATGAATCTTTCATATTTACAGAATAGATGGGTGGAAAACTTAAAATGTTTTTCATAAAATTAACCAATGAGATTCCTTAGAGATTACACCGTTCCCTTTTCCTTACTACGACACCAAGCATTACCGGTGAGCTTCAGACTACCATAGACATCACTTATTAAAGCTGAAACTGTTGGATGTAGTAAGAAGTCTTATTTCACTTATTTTCTTACGTTCAGAATTTATAGTATTTTGTAAAGTCTCACAATAATGTACATATGAATATCGGCTTTCGGCTAATAACCGAAATATTTATCAAACGTTGATAGAATTTTCAGCATCATTCAGTTTGTAGTGCCACCACACCAGATATGTTAATTAACTTTTCTTCTCAAGCAACGCATTAACATTTGTGTTAACATGATTTGTTATTTCTCTAAATTGCATATATAAGCAAATTTACACTCAGACTTCTCTCTTACTATCAGAATCAACTTATCGTCCCCCTTATTACTTTATGTATTTTTGAAATTTATTAAAAGGATAACTAACTATTTAATAGTATCATGTCTTTCTTTGGTTATGGACTTGTAAAATATACAATTCTTGGAGCTACCCTATAATTTTATTTATAACCTATCATCTCGGTACAGTGTTAAGACTAGCTCTACAGTCATTTTATTGTGATCATTCCCTTCCTAGCAGTCTTTTTAATGTTGAATGTTAGAGTCACTGAAGTTGGTTTAAGTTGATAAGCCAAACAACATTCTGTGGTGTAGTGAAGACACTCTTCCCCCACTACCCTAACAAGTTGGGAGGGGAAATTCTCCAAAATATAATCTAATATCATAATAAATTAAATAATTAGTTCAAATAAATATTAGAGATATGGACTGTAAAAACTTCTAAATAATATTTGGATTATTTTCCCTGCACACTTTGGGGGGTAGAACCAATAATGCAGGAACTACCTAATATAAAATGTTGAAATAATTTCAATAATCAATTTCATTAGTAAATCCTAATTATAGAGTTAGTAGACTAACTACAATATAATAATTAGAAACAATGTCTTAGCTGTTAAGCAGTTAAGGAGGAATGCATCAGATAGCCGTCAGTGACCAGTCTAATCCTGTCTGGGCGTGTTGTCGTGGTAGACACGTGATACACCAGAAAGGACAATCTCTCGTAGATAAACTCCACTCTGTAAAATTTATAGTATGTAATTTCTATATAACTACGAGTATTTCCACTAATATACATGGAAAGGGGCTTGATTGATTAGGGGAAACACACTTACTGGTGTTTTTTGTTGATCTAGCAGCTTAACGATTGGATAACCTATAACACGAAATATGGCCATAAACCGTGAAATGGTATACTTATCCAACCGGACGCAGTGTCCACAATGACTGATGAAGTTGGCAGCAAACTCTGGGACCCGATAATGCTCAGATGATCCGTATAACAGGCGATGATAATGGCCAGCTTCAGGACACTGATCAAAATGGCTGCTCCTCAACCAAGTCTCTCAGCAAGTATGGGAATGACGCACGCGCCACTTGGATTCCTGACTGAGTATGAGCTTGGCATATAAGTTACGATATTTTATTCTAGTTTGCTATCTGATTAAAACATTGATGACGTTATTTTACGTCATAACAACACACCAGGTATTAACATATGGTTTTCCGCTGTGTTTATTACTGAACCTAAGTGGCGTTATATAAAAATACAGATATATACAGTGGTACCTCGCATAACGAATTTAATCCGTTCCATGTTCGTCATGTGAAACGGACGTCATACAAAACGAGTGTCCCCCCATGTAACCAGTGTGATGCACTTTATTTATTTATTTATGCATATACAAGAATGTACATAAGGAATGTGAGGATACAAATATGGTAATTAGTCTTGTAAAGCCACTAGCACGCGCAGCGTTTCGGGCAGGTCCTTAATCTAAGAAAATTTTAAGGAGGTAAATACTTGCAAAATTTATAGACAAAAAAATGATAACAGTTACATGAAATGAAAAAAAGATGATGAGAGAAAATTGTAGGTACAGTATATTAAAGCACATAGGTAGCTAAGATTGATTGCAATGACAGCTTGAATGGTAGTTGACAAAAATTGGTAGGCACAATACAGCAGAAACAATATAAGATTGGTTGCAATGACAGCTTGAATGGTAGTTGACAAAAATTGGTAGTCACAATACAGCATATGGCTAGCACATAAAAGAAGACAGCAATGAACACAATGATAAGGTTGTTTGATATTACATAAAAATTAGGAGATTGGGTAACACTAGGTACAGAGCAAATTTAAAGCTCAGTGTAGGAAACTAAGAAGATGAAGTTAGGTACTTTTTGGTTTTGCTTTTAAATAAGGCAAAAGTTTTACAGTTTTTCAATTCACTAGGGAGTGAGTTCCATAGACTAGGTCCCTTAATTTGCATAGAGTGTTTACACAGATTAAGTTTGACCCTGGGGATATCAGAGATATTTATTTCTGGTGTGGTGATGTTCCGAACCTTAATGGAATCTGACCCATATATCAATCAGGTCAACCCATGTGTTGCGTTTCCAAAAGGGTCGCCCGTTAGAATCGGTGAACGCCCTAGTAATATTGTTGAAAACATCTTAATAACTTATTAAACCAAAGGTCTTTTTATGTCAGAAGAACGGCAGAAACTGGATCTATATATGAAAACTCTTTCAGGACAAAATTTAAAGTAAAACTAAAGATATTTGTAGTTGTATAAAAGTTGCATTTGTCATCGGTCGTAGAGCCGGAAATCCGCAATATTCATCTCAGAACAATGCTTATTTCACGTAAATTCAATAATAAACACACATGTTTTATATGTCTCAAGAAAGATAGAAATATAAGCTTCATTTTAAATACTTTAACATAGACATATATAAAGCTCAAGTGAAGATACATAAGCTTTTATAGTGGCATTCAGTAGCTTGTCGGTCATGGAATGCAGAAGCCTACGCACTTGCCCAATATAGTGTGTAATTAACAAAGATACGCTTATAAAGCCTAAAATATTATATGCCTTCAGAAAGACAGAGATATGCTCGTTATTGTGAGTGCACCAAAGGAAATATATCTTGTTGGAGGACAAAGATATATCAATTCTAAAATAAGTTTCGACTCTCGCTCGGGCGAGAGATAGCGCGACTCTCGCCCCATCTATTGGAGATTCTGTTCACCTAATGACCCAAAGCTACTCAAAGCCTCCTAGCATTACATACAAGAGTTTTACATTCTTGTAAAGCCACTATTACGCGTAGCGTTTCGGGCAGGTCCTTAACCCTAATTTCCCCGGAATACGACCCCGCCGAATCGTTTAACAACCATGTACCCATTCACTGCTGGGTGAACAAAGGCTACAGTTAAGGATTGGTGCCCGGTCAATCCTCCCCGGCCAGGATTTCTTAAATAATGAAGAAATATGGTATATTTATTCACTATAATGTTGGTGCTTAATGCAGAACACGAGAAAACATATATTTACTATAAAATAATATACTTCCATTATGAAATAAGTAAATATGTGGCCTCATAGGAAGTCAACGGTCCAGGTGTCAATGTTGTGGAGCGACTTATCCAAGATATATTGTTGTCTGGAAAGTGTTTGTTGGCATATCAACCTTCTGTACACAGTGATCCAGTCGTCGCACTTCTCTCCTTAAATGATCGCAAATTTAGTTTATTATATTAACAAGTAGAATACGTATTTCTAATAATATCTAACATAACTAGCCAGAAAATATTTAAGACTTATTGAAAAATACATGTCTGGAAGTTAAATCGACTTCATAGAACAATAGTGTTGGTCTATACTAATCGTTATTCGTTAGTATGCGTTCGCTTCTTAAAACATTTACTGTACTGATGTAAAATCTCCCATGTCTCTTCGCACATGGAACACCGAACCTTACACACTCTCTGATATATTGTACCCAACATGAACTTGAGTCCTGGCTTTGTTGCTGTGGACTCTTCCCTTTCACAGTATATACTCAAATGCTCTAATCTTTCTAACAAACGTGACTTAACATAAGCTTTCCCCCTTCCATTTCTTTCTTTCTCTTTCCCTTTCTTTCTCTCTTCTCCCTTTTTCTGTTCATTGTCTTCTTCTGATATATTGTTTAATTAATAGAGATTCACTAATAAAGCTTATAATTGTATATGTTATCAAAAAGGCATAGATAAAGTCGTTCTTACGTTTTAGTCACAGAGATTAGATATTAGTAAAGTAAAGTTCATTTTATTCAGGAAAGTACATAAATAGTCGATTTACAAACATAATATTGGATTTATAGATAGAGCTAGTACATACAATACCTAAAGCCACTAGTACGCATAGCGTTTCGGGCATATTATTGAGAGAGGAAAGATATTTATATTTAAACAATTTTTTTTTTTACCGACGCTCTCCCTATTGATGAGAACTACAACCTAATGAAGATAAATGTTAATTTTATGTAGATACTGTAATAAACGAAAGTTTTTAATGTCATCAGAGAAGCAGAAATATAGGCAAATTTTAAATCCCTTGTCATAAATATAACTGAAGTGAAAGCAAAGATATATGCATTTTGATAGTTACAAAGACAGCTCTTTAACACGGGTGGAACACGAACAAGGGGAACTTAGTACCCAAATGAGCCACAGAGATATTAGAAAGAATTTTTTCAGTGTCAGAGTAGTTAACAAATGGAATGTATTAAGCAGTGATGTGGTGGAGGCTGACTCCATACACAATTTCAAATGTAGATGTGATAGAGCCCAATAGGCTCAGGAACCTGTACACCTGTTGATTGACGGTTGAGAGTCGGGACCAAAGAACCAAAGCTCAACCCCTGCAAGCACAAATTAGGTGAGTACAACTAGGTGAATACAGCTGAGGGGCGGGACCAAACAGCTGAAGCTCAATTCCCTACGCATAACTAGGCGAGTCCATAGGAATTACCGTTTGTCCTGGCGCCATCTATGTTTTGACAGCAGTACTACTAATGTTCCCACGTTATGTGATGATCGCTATACGGGTGTTACGGTCAGTTGCTCTTCTATATATGTTTATGGACAACGTAGGTGATTTGAGGCAATTTGCGGCCAGAGTGAAATAGTATCCACGCGGTGAGTGATGGAGGAGGATATATACTGCTGTGTACTCGACCAGCGGGTGAGAGGTAAGTTATATCGAACAATTATGGGGAATAGATGGGTTATTTTAAGCGTAGAATGTCAGGTAACCGGTAACTACACAGATGGGGTAGTGTTTTTTTAAGTCTTTATTTACTAAAGTGGAACATTACATTATGCCTTTAGCTGAACAAGTCTACTGGTGGGGGAAGTAGACGGGTTTTATGAAAGTATTTTACCTAAATATTTGTATTTGGTTAACTAGTTCAGCCGTTACCAGGGAGGGTGTTCCTTTAATCTAATCTAAAAATTCTAGCCGGACAAAGTGATTAAATAAATTGAATAGAACGAAGTGGTTTGCCAGGGTGCTTAACATTTAGTTTAGTTCACTTACTATGCAGCCCATGCTTAAAGAATGCAAGTTTATCATATTGAATTTACCGTAGTTTTAC